CAATTGCGTATATGTGGATGGTTGTTTTCTATAGCTGAAAAAACTACGGAACGTAGAACCCTGACAAAATTACTAAGGGTAGTTCAAAGACCAAGTTTCTGTCAATTCAGTAAAGGATTGCATTCGCCTACAAAAAATTAGAAAAATAGAAAACTCTATCGGCCGTTTACGATTTTCCATTTCGTCATTTTAATGCACTGTTCAACACACATTTCGTTTTCTATGATATAAAAATCCATAAGAGGATTGCAAATCACGAGAAAAAGACAATTCCTTTATCTGTTTTAAAACTCAACAAGCGAAATAGACATTCAGATGAGCTGATTCTGATATTATTTTCACGATAAGATGTCTCACTTTTCGATAAGTTTGTAAACGAGCATTTCATCGACGCCGACATGCAAAAGATTGCTTTCCAGGAAGGAAAGACGGACGGAAAGAAATGTGTCACGTCGTGATGGAATCAGGCGATAGTCAAATTTTGGGCATATGGGGTTATTGGTATCATCTTAAAGCCTGTTCATTTCCATTCCTTCCGGTAACAAAAGTTTCAATCTAAGTTGAATGAAAGTCGAAGTATTTGCCATTGAAGGAGGTCTGGGTCACCTGGTTTCAGAAGTAAGATTAGCGAGAAAATTGTCGTCAAAATTTGATATCTTCCATAGCCTGAGAGTCATTTGAAACTGAAAATTTACATTTTTGTGTGCTTTTAATCAATGTTTTTTCAGTAAAAATCCACACAAAAATGTATTTTTAAAAGCAAAAAAAGGTGTTGAGCTAAGAAAAAAAAGAAATTTAAAAAAGTTCAATTTAACTGTAAGTATATAATGTCTCCTTTTCATCTCCTAATTTACTCCTCTTCTTCCTACTCGTCCTCCTGTTCATCGTACTTCACCTCCTCCTCATTCTCTTCCACCTCCGTCTCATCCTCCTGTTTCCCCATTCTCCTCCTCCTCCTCTTCCTCCTTTTCCTCATTTTTCATATCCTTCTCCTCCATCTCTTCCTCCTCTTCCTTATTTTCCTCCACGTCCTCCCCCTCCCTCTCCTTCTCCTCCTCCTTCTACCCCTCCTCAATAACAATATCATGCCCCCCTGTAATCTCATTCCCTGTACTGACCTCCATACTCACATAGCCCTCCGGTCCTGTAGAGCTAGCCTGGGTTGACAGATACGAGGCATCCACCTCATCAGCTGAAGAGAAAAAAGCTCAGGTCATGTGATCCCTGTGGTTTCTGTCTGCCCGTATTGCTCATTTCCCGGCACTAACTGACCGTTATTGTGTCGGTGTGCATCGTTTTACTCAAACAAACCAGCTGTCATGACAAATCTCAGATATTTTACTATAAAAGTTTGTCTTTTCTACGGGGTCGGTGAAAGGGGGGGGGGGGGTGGTGCATCTTTTTAGTAAGCTTGGCAATAAATAAATTCAATCTAAACAAGAAATATAACAGTAACACGAAAACAAGGTCAACAGCAATTATAATAACTTAACAAAAGATACCTACATTATAATTATTGACGAAAAATGTAGGAAAATGATGGGTTGATTCAATGAACGCAAAAGATCTATGCACCTTAATGCATTGCTAGTACATTGTACATTCTAGTAGATTTTGATACTAACAGAAAATGGTCATGAATATAATATTAGGTTATAGATAGATAGATAGATAGATAGATAGATAGATAGATAGATAGATAGATAGATAGATAGATATATAGATAGATAGATAGATAAATAGATAGATAGATAGGTAGATAGATAAAGATGTCTGTTAAAGGACGTAGGTTCGACATTAATTATAGCAATATGTTTCTGCACCGATCTACTTATTGAACTCACCCTGGGAATACTCGTTCTCAGGTTTCATGCTGGTGTAAGGATCTGAAACGAACAGGAGAAGCCATCTAAATCGTCACCATCTCTGTCTGTATATCTGTCTGCCTGTCTCTGTTTCTGTCTCTGTCTCTCTCTGTCTCTCTGTCTCTCTCTTTCTTTCTCCCCCCCCCCTTCTCTTTCTCTCTCTCTCTCTCTCTCTCTCTCTCTCTCTCTCTCTCTCTCTCTCTCTCTCTCTCTCTCTCTCTCTCTCTCTCTTAGGAATAGGCAGCAAAGAACGGTTATTCACCCTCCGGGTAGTCTCAAATGCTGAACTTTTTGTAATCGATACTAGGAAAATATGGATAGACAGTGCTTGGTAGGGAACCAATACCGATACTGTAGCAAGATTAAAGTTCCTACACTATAAATAAACATCACATACGCTCTTTTTCATATTATGCCCCACTTGTTTGGAATAGGCTTCCAAAAACTATCAGAGAAGCAGAAAAACCAGAAAATTTTAAGAAAAAACTAAAAGGATTTTTATTCTCATCATATTTGGATTAGACAGAATCCATCCAAGCTGTAGATCGTTGTGCGTTTGTATGTTTGTATGTGCATATTATTATGTACGTATGTGTGTATGTGTGTATGTGTGTATGTGTGTATGTATGTGTGTGTATGTGTGTGTGGTGCGTGCGTGCGTGCGTGAATATGTGTGCGCATAGAGCATTGCATAAGTGGATATGCGCTATATAAATGCAATCCATTATTATTATTATTATACTACAAGTTATCTCACTTCTCTCTTTGAGCCTTGTTTAATAAACGTCCCCAAAATCACTGATGTGTCCCTTGAGAAAAAGTGTGTACTTTGAGAACAGCTGATCTTAGACAGTTGAACAGCAGTCAAGGGGGAGTCTATATAATTCTTCTTCTGGAACTGCTGCGTCATCTGAGAATAAGCGCGTACGGCCGCGGATGTTTAAATAATTTTATTTTATTTTATTTTTATTTATTCATTTTTTTATTATTTTATTTATTTATTTATTTATCTTTTTATTTTTTTTTTGGGGGGGGGGGCTGTTGGCTGAGTCGAAGAAACTTGTAGTGTAGGATCTTTGCTACTTGATACAGAGACAGCACATTTTTGTGTTTGCTGACTATGTCCACAGTCCACGTACATCAACGTCAGAGTCACGGTGTCCCATCCCTGCAGGTGGGCTGGCCAGTGTATTACAACAAGAACAATATACGCAATCCACCCCGACCCCAAAGTTATTTTTTAAAAACCACCGCCCAGCTCTAAGTACATCCCTTCCACCACACTCCCATGTTGCCCTCTTCATTGGAAAATGTGTCACGACGCGGTGGAATCAGGCGCTCGTAAATTGTTATCATTTGGAGCTATTGATGTTATCTTAAAGCTTGTTTATCAGTCTTGCTTTTAATGAAAAGAATACCCGTCTATCTAAAAATACAAGTCGCGATATTTGGAATGGAAGGAGGGGGGGGGGGTCACCAAGGGTCAGAGGTGAAAGTAGCGAGTACAAGGCTTGAGTGTCTCTTCAAACTGCAGATGTATATTATTATGTATATTTCTTGAGCCTTCGATCATCGTTTATCAAGTAAAATACACAAAGAAATGTGTTTTTGAATGGATATAAGGGGTGCCAAGCAAAACAAACAAAACAAAACAAAACCAAAAAAAAAAGAAAAGAAAAAAAAAAGAAAATGTTAAAAAGAATTGCTCAACAGCCATAAAAATGTCGGTTTCTCCGATTTCAATATTTCGATGAGCGCCTGATTTCACCACTCTCAATTAATGTTTACCCTGTGGGCCTGTATATCCGTCTCAACTTCTCTACTGCTTAGTCCCTGCCGCCCTACTGCAACTGAAGGATATCTCGCTGATTACTTGACCAAATTTTACAAAATTTCACACATGTAATCAGCAAAGTAAGGAGTCTTAAGATCCGAAATCAAATTTGAGAAAACAGTTTCGTTTCCATGGATACGGCGGTCATATTAGATTTTGTTGACAGGTCTTACGTACTGAATACAGCACTTATTGCTAATGGAAATTGATTGTTTTCTTGCATGTTTGTTAACAAACATTAGACCTAAAACTTCGTCTGTTGTTTTATTTTCCTAAACGCATTAGAACATTTTTTAATGAATTTTTTTCTGAGGTAGCATTCAAGTTAGCAAAAATTCCGTGAAAATCCACACTCCAGACATTACCAACAAAAATCTATTCCATACATAAAAAATTCAACATACTTCATTTTTTTGTATCACATCTTTTCTTCATTCTGTGAAAATTTCGTAAAGATTGGAAGAAAAATAGTGGAGTTATTTTAAAAAGTATAGAGGAAAGTCGCGTTTTGAGAAAACGGCCGATAAAGAACAAAGACATAATACTGATTTTATGAGGATATTGTGGTGACAAACATGCCGGGTATGGGAAAAATAAATACGTTTTTGGGGGGTTCTTTTGCTATGAAATAGTTGTAGGAGAGGCTGAGGAAACTAAACATGCCTACAACTCAAATTCCATAATATTGAGCCGAATCTTGACTTTGGGGTGCATGCCCCTAAGATTGAATCCACAGAGAAAGAGAAAGAGAGAAAGGCTTAAAAGAACTTGGAAGAGGAACTTAGATTTCAGGCATAAACAAAGAGATGGGATACAGCTGGACAGCGGGGGAGACTATAGCCCAGGATAGAAGAAGAAAGAGGGCCCTTGTTGGTGGACAATACTCTGGCCTGGGATGAGAAAAAAATGCTGTTGCTGTTGCTGCTGCTGCTGCTGCTGCTGCTACTGATAATGATGATGATGATGATGATGATGCTGATGATGATGATGATGATGATGATGCTGATGATGATGATGATGATGATGATGGTGATGATGATGATGCTGATGATGATGATGATGATGATGATGATGATGATGATGATGATGATGATGATGATGATGACAGAGGGGTTAAAAAAAGACGAAGAACGTTCGCACAGTAAGCAATTTTACCAGAAAGAAAAACGACACTATCCGGACCCGGAAACACGTCATACTCTCCAGTAGGGTTTGTGATGTGACCTTGACCGTCCTGCCCTGCCCTTGACCTTGGTGCAGAGGCTGATACATTATTGTAAGGACTTGGGTCTGTCGGAGCCTCTATTGTGATGATTTCCGCCATGGTTCTCATGACTGGGATAGGGCTGTGAATGTCGCTTGGCGGAGTGTCGTCAGAATCTACTTCTTCGTAGAGGTTTTCGTCTTGGTGGCCTGTGGGCAAACAGCGAAAAACGGGAGAGAGAAATTTAATCAGATCGCGCTCCCATCCTC